TAAATGAGTGTGAGGCCACAAAAACATGCACGCATGTGTAAAAACGAGCGTGAGGCCATGTAAACATGCACGCATGTGTAAAAACGAGCGTGAGGCCATGTAAACATGCACGCATGTGTATAAACGAGCGTGAGGCCACGTAAACATGCACGCATGTGTAAAAACGAGCGTGAGACCACTTTAACATGCATGCATGCGTATAAATGAGCGTGAGGCCACGTAAACATTCATGCATGTGTAAAAATGGATGCGAGGCATGTAAACGCGCGTGTATGCATATAAATAAGTGTGGGCCTATGTAAACGTTCATTCACGTGTGTAAATGAGCATGAGGCCATGCAAATATGCATGCGTGTGTGTAAATGAATTCAAGGCCAAACACACATGCATGCATGTAAATCAGAGTGAGGCCACGTAAACATGTGCATGTAAACATATGTATGAGAACCTGTATAAGAATATGTATCAGACTGTAAATATGCATATACTCAAGCATGCGTATATAGTCGTACGTATGCTGCAGAGTAAACATATTAGTGATGCACGCATGCAGACGCGTGTGCGTGCCTGAGCCCCTACCCAGCACAGTGATGTCGGCGTAGGCTTCCTGGGGTGGGTCGGTGTACAGCTGACAGACGTATCGGCCCTCATCGGACAGCGACACGTTGGACAGGGACACGCGCAGCTCGTTGTCCGTGAAGTTGACCAGCTGGAACCTTCCGTCCTTCAGGGCTGCGGAGGCAGAGAGGCAGCAGAGGAAGCTGAGGAATGCGTCTCTGCTCTGTGAATATTTCATGCTGCCTCCACGCCAGCGTAGGGATGGAGTCTGGGGTCAGACTGGAGAACTATAAGTTCACCCGAACGAGCAGAAGCACAGCTGGGCAATTCAATATTTTATGAAGTCGTCTATTTTCTTTGTTTTTTTTTTTTTTTTCCCCTCTACTGAGGAAGTTTTGGCCAGAAATGCAGCAGTGAACATTCCAGCTCTGAGGTCTTACAGCTGGAGTGCGGGTTACTCTCTCTTAATGAGACGGGAAGTCGAGGAAACGGACGCACTCTCAGAGTTGCCATCCCTCAGGAATGCTGACGAGCCCATTAGAGCGAAATGTCCGTGTGTCTCAGGAGCCCAACGACGGCGGCGTGTGAGCCGGCCTGTGGCAGCCACTACATGCAAGCAGCATCTGCCAGTCGAGGGGGAAGGGGTGGGGCAGATAAGCCCACGCTTGAACACAGGTGCACTGCGTACTCCCTATGACCTGCTCCTCAGTCACAGCATCGGTTATCTCAAAGGAAACTCCCCAAAAATCACATTAATAAATAGCATCCTGAATCTGTGGGGGTGTGCCACAGAGACGGGGAAAAAAGAGGAGGAAGAAAGGTGAGGGGGTCTAATTAACAAATGACCTTTCCTGAAACTGTGAAATTAAACAACAAAGAACAAGAGAGGGTCAAAGGTGAAAGAGTCAGGCCTTCAGATTCATCTTTACACACTGCCCTGGTGCAGGTATTTCACCTGTAGAACAACGATAGATAAACCTGGATAAAATGATAACTTTGTCTTCGGCTTAATGTTTCCAATGTACTAGTGTACTAGTCTTAGGAATAGTACCTATAGTGTCCGATTGGATATTTTTCATCTCATCAGTTTTTGATCTACTCGAGCTGGTGCAGTCACAGACGTTCTAAGCTGTGTTTTTTTGGTGAGCTGCTTCCTTCCATGGTGCATTGAAATAACACAGGGCTAATTAGTGGCACAGGTAAACAAGGTGATGACATCATTAACGGTCTGAATGAAGGGGGCAGGGGGAGCAGGGCGGGGCAAATGGCACCGCAAGCGATCTACGTTACTGAAGTCCAGCAGAAACAAAAAAACGAGAATTAAGTCATTAGTGAAATGTGAATGACTGAAATGACAGGACTGAGAGAGGAAATGTGGGAGGAATGAATAGGTGATGGCTTCACACCCACACCTAAAAGGAACCAGGGATCCCATGGCGCTGAGAAGGACACATCCTGGAACGAAAAAGCAGTAGCAGCTTTCAATGACAGCTGACCAATGTTTATTATTAAGTAAATATTCATTATTAAGCTAAGACAGACTTTACTTTAACAGTGTTAAGGACTAAAAGGGCGGCACTGTTGCTGGGGTTAATGCTGGTCTTGGTGCAGGGTTCAGAGGTATGTGTGTGTGGGTGGTTTTATTGGTGTTGGCGGCATTATCCAGGTCAGTGCTGGTAGGGCTACTACTCTGGGTGTTTGTGGTGGTGGAGGGTGGTGGTGTTAAGTAGAGTCAGCAGGAGCAAAGCTCTCAGGGAGAGAGACAGTCATACAGACAGAGACAGTCATACAGACAGAGACAAAGACAGAGACAGTCATACAGACAGAGACAAAGAGAGAGAGACAGATATACAGACAGAGACAAAGACAGAGACAGTCATACAGACAGAGACAAAGAGAGAGAGACAGATATACAGACAGAGACAAAGACAGAGACAGTCATACAGACAGAGACAAAGAGAGAGAGACAGATATACAGACAGAGACAAAGACAGAGACAGTCATACAGACA